TGGCTCATGTATTTAATCATTCCTACAACGTAATTTTCGGTTAGCGTGGAACGTATCTAAGCGTTATAGGGGGTCTACTGTACGCTTCTTGTCTAGTTTGGTATATACTTGTGAACACTATGTTGGCCTCTTTATTCCTAGACTTATTACCGTTTCTAGACGTAAGATCAGCCTTAGAACACACTTTTTTTTAAATAAATGAATGTTCCAAGGCTGATCAGAGGCCAATATAATGCTCACAAACCAGTTACAGTAGAGCGTCGATTATCCGAAAGTCAATCATCCGAAAGAATTCCAGTCGGCAAATTTAAATTTTCGCCAGTGCTGTGGCACTGCAATCTTTGGGTATGTCTTGGGCTACTCAAATATTTTACGTTTTTGATACTAAATTAACTTCTGAAGTATAATTTTTTATAGTTTATATTTTTCAATATATTTATTTTGTTTGTACAAAATAAAAAAATAATTTTTAACGATGCAATAGTCTTCGTTAGGCTTAACATCGATGGAAATTCAACGCGAAGCGACACGCAACAGAGAAAAATGTCAAGATGGGATAAATTAATATATTTTTTCGTGCATAATCGGTTATCCGAAACACCGATCTTCCGAACAACCCCAGTCCCCAATTGATTCGGATAATCGACGCTGTACTGTATCTATTTATTTTAAAACATTATTAATTGTTTTATATGACAGAAAATTTATAGAATTTTCTTGTATTTATTTTTATGCATTTTTAATGTGCCATTGTTTTAAAGAATGGTTATGGTACAACTGAAATAGAATCAGTCTGCATAGGAGATCCGTCTACAGACAAATATTCAGGAAAACCTGTCGAACATGTCGAAGTATGTCAATTTAAATTATCTACATATACTTATTTTTCAATCTGTAGCGATGATTTAATTCTTATTGTAGGTCAAAATTGTCGACAAAGACGGAAACGTACTCCCATTTAACACTAAAGGAGAAATTCTGTGTAGATCTCCATACGTATTTCTCGGCTATTGGGAAGACAAGGACAAAACTGACGAAGTGCTGGATAGTTCCAAATGGTATCATTCCGGGTACGATGCTATTTTCTATACAAAATGTATTGCTCTTGTGTATGTAAATGAATTTGTCATGTGAATTTGTGTAGTGATATCGGTAGCATGGACGAAGACGGTAACATTTGCGTAACTGGAAGAATTAAGGATCTTGTCATAAGAGGTGGTGAAAATATATATCCTCAAGAAATCGAAAATTTACTTATTAAACACCCTGCTGTCTCCGAAGCATACGTAAGCAAATAAATTACTGTGTTTTCTTTTAAAAATCATTAAATTATATGTTTAAAAACCTATAGGTTGTGGGAGTTCCAGATATAAGAATGGGAGAAGAGTTGTGCGCCTGCATTCAACTGAAACCTAATCAAGGAATTAAAGAAAAAGATGTTAAAGAATTCTGCAAAGACAAGGTAAATTGCCTCGATTTGATAATAATTTCTGTCAATTTATTGAGTATTTAATTTAAGTTATGGTGTTTATTGATATTTATTTTAACCAGATAAGCAAGTTCAAAATCCCAAAATACATCGTAGTCGTTGAAGAATTTCCGAAAACGGAAAGCGGAAAAATTCAAAAGTATAAGCTTCAAGAACAATGTACAAAATTACTGAAATTATAATTACGAGATCGTTTTATTTTTAAAACGTATATTTAATTGGAATGTGTTTATATCAAATGAACGATGTTTTGTATTAATTAAAGTATTTATAGTATGATATTTCTTATCTTTCAGGTACAATTATGTATAGCTTAAAATTAGAGAAAACTTGTTGTAACATATTTAATGAATGACAAAAAGTTTATAATGGTTAAATAACCATTATAAAGTTTACCGACTTAGCCAAAATCATATAAAGAAATAATATTAAAGTCAGTTGGCAAATAGCTTTAAATGTTCATAAATCGTAATCCATAAATTCAAAAAAATGATTTTTAACATTTAAAAAAGTTATTCAATACAAAAAGACAAGTGGAGCAAAGCGTTATATTATTAATTCGTCGACCGTTGAAAAAATAGTACAGTTATTACGTCGCAATTGTATTATCAAGGATTTAATCTGATAATTTAAATTTGATAACGGATAAGATCGAGGTGTTCATGCGGAGGATAAAGAAATTTTCAAGAAACTAACTTCTGCTCTGTATAGAAATTATCTTAATGCAAATTTTTTTTCCAGTCTGTAGTAGCACATATATAAACACCTGAAAGCTGTATAATAATCATAGGACTTTGAGATGTTAATATATAATTATTATATTAAAGTCAAATGATTGATGGATTAAATCGGTTGTGTAGTCCGATTTAATACGGCAATCGATGATTTTTTCCCTAATTTTCTTAAATTATTTAATAACTAATAATTTAATTATAATTATTAAATTTAATAAGAGATGGAGTCTAACTCCTACCTCTAGCGCCAAATTTTCAGTATTTAATTAATAATAGCGGTCGTGTAGCCAGATTTATTATGGCGATCGTTTGACTGACGTAATTCAACCAACAAAAGCCTTTTTTATCTGAATTTTGAGCGTAATAAGCACATGGAAACTATAAATCAGACAATAAGCGCTGAAATAAGAAAGACCAAGTTATGACCGAAAAACTAATGCTTACTAAATTGAATTTTAAGATTGTGTAAGATTTGCAGATGTGAATAACAGTGTTGTGAATTTTAATGGTAAGATTGTGTAAGATTGCAGATGTGAATAACAGTGTTGTTAATGTCTCATAGGTTCAAACATCCAAAGAAACTATACCTTTAAATGAGACCCTGCACGAAATAGAGTCCCTCCCGAAATCAGCCTATTTTCGAGATATCATATGTAACAGATAGGCCGGCACGGAGATCAGTCATTCTAACAATATTTATTGATAAAGAATAAAGAAATGTTCGAAATGCGACCCTTCGATTTTAAATGTGGAACCCCAATAGCAGTACCATTCGCCATCTGGTTTGAAGAAGTCATGTTTGTAAGCAAGTTTGATAACTTGCTTGCAAACATGACTGATGGCCGTTATTTGTTACAGGCCCTGATGGCGGTGCCTATAACAAATAATGCATTAACTTCTACTGACCGAAAACAGTTTGCTCCTTAAACAGGAATTTTAATGCTTCGTATTGGTCAAGGCTTGATATCCTTGCCTTGACTGACACTCCGCATGTAGTCATACCCCTAAAACTATATAGTATCAATTACTTCACCAACAGTCAAGTGGGCCTCTCAAAGCTGGTATAAATCACGTGGGCTAAATAGTTAAACTCGAAATTCGTAGTGGAACGCTTATTATTATTATTATTATTATTTCTACATTTTGTTTCAAAGCGCCAAGCTTATCTTTACCAAAGAAAAACTTCTAAGAAAAAATTTGACTATCGTCTAAATCAGGGGTCGCCAAAGTGGTCTATATCGACCCTTAGGGGTCGATATAACGTTATTGAGGGGTCGATGAAAAGACTAAAACTTACAAATTTTGAACCGAATATTGGTAATCATGCTAAGGATTATCAAGCTTATCCATCTTATTGATCGTCAGTTACAAAAATTATTATTAACATATGTACTGTACAGTACAGTACTGTACAATAAATGTAAAAAATATAAAATTAAAAGATAGATNCACATATTTGGCACATTCATATTGCAAAAATTTTCTCATGCAAAAATCATTTACTATTGTAAAACATTTCCATATTACACTACTAAACTTTTTTGTCGACGTTGTTTTTATTTTAATTTAACTCAACACTCTCCAAAAACACAAACGTAATCTATGCTATCCCGTGTCACACTAAACTATAAACAAAAACACGCGCAGTGCAAGTCAAAACACGTTGCGTTACTAACGCAAAGCGTCAATTATCAGTCCCAGATCACACGCACCGGCGCCGACTGAGTACGAAAGTTGAGATCCGTATCCGTATCTGCGGATCTATATTTTTAATAGTGATGTAACGAATATTCGGTTACTATTCGGTATTCGGCCTATGTTTCGCTATTCGGCCGAATACCGAATACCTAAAAACAGGACAGTAAGAAATAACAAAAACACAGTAAATTAATCATTTTGTTATTTAGATTTAATGTTGTCTGGTTAGTGTTCTTTGTTTACATTTATTTATAACTTATAACATGCACAAAATAAAGAAAATATTATTAGTCACATGTATTCACAATTTATAATTACAAAGATCAGCACACGTACACACCTATTCCTTCGAGAATCGTCGCACACATGTGAGGGTCTGACCCAGCCTATCCTTTTTAAGCTCTCGTCTTTGCTCTTTCTTTTCTCTTTCCTCCATCTCTCTAGTCCACGTATGCCTATGCATACATCATAATACACGCTCACGATACCTTCGATTCGTCACTTTTCCGTCGTAGTTTTTCCATTTTATAATTACGTGACTCATAGCCTGGTGATAACGGAGAAAAGAGACAGATAGGACGTCGGTATATGTCACAGTTATGATTTCACAGATTCGAGACAGCTTGGTAGCTCGAACGGCCCCAGGCTTTCGCCCTTGCAGCTAAGTGACTTTCATTACAAGCATTTAGCTTTCCGAAGTCTATGATAACAATTGTTTGACATTGACGGCCGCAAATTTCGCGCCAATAAGCTGCTTCGACTTGTTCGCTTATCAACTTAATTTCATATTTATTTTCACATTTTCACTTCGTGGTCCTTCTCTATTCTTTTTCCGTTATTTACACTTGTAGGTCATTTCATTGTTATTCACATTGGATATCATCATTTATCGCATACTACCATGACGCTAAATCTAAAAAAAAAATGTAATATAATGCCATGACGCTCTTGTCTGTCCGCTACAACTGTCAAGAATTAACGCGATTGGCGAAGCATAGCGACAGCGGGCCAATAGAGAGCAGGGTCCTTGCCATAATGAGGTTTGCGCGCCAATTTTCGTACGTGCGTTAATCAAGCCGAATAGTTTGGCCGAATATTCGGCTATTCAGTCACGCTCCTGGCCGAATGTACTATTCGTTGCAACACTAATTTTTAACGATCCGGGCAGGATTATCCGGCACATAACTAGTAGTGAGCCACTTCTACCATACTGAGTTACATATATATAAATGTCTTTACATTAAATTAATGATACGTATAAATTTATATCATTAATTTATTAAAATTAAGTCATTGACAGTAAAAATTTATTTATAATGAGCTTTAATAATAATGCATTTGTTGATCTACATCTTACCACTATATTCAACATAATTTTTGGAATATAAAATTTGATTCAGTAAAGAACTTTCGATTCTCATAATCGCTTTAATTAATTTCAAAAATATTCGTTAAATTACGTTAAATGTTTGTATTAGTTAAAATATACTGACATACATTTTTTAAAATTAAATGAAAGGGTACAACAGGGAGTCCAAAAGCTGCTACATCCAGCCATTTTCAATTAGTTAACAGTTCAATCGCTGTTGCAAGAAAGATGGGATTCGATAAAGAGGTATAAAATTAATTTTATTTTGAAAGGTTTTGCTACATTTATATACAATTAACAATAATTTTATCAATGTACTTGTTAGCGTGTGATACTTTGCTTGCAAGTGCCACTCTTTCATGCCTTTGGTTACATTCTGGGACCAATGATGACATTGCAGCTTGGAGGAAAGTGTGTCATCCCTTCAGAGGTCTTTCATGCTCCTTCTTCTCTGAAGAGCATCCAAAACGAAAGGTGCCACATACTCGAGTATATCATAGGATTTATTTTTAAAATTTATACATATAATTATATTTGAGACATTATATGAAATGCAGGTGTACGTTAGTGTATGGAGTTCCGACAATGTATTTTGATATGTTGAAACATCTCTCCGATTCAAATTTTGATCTCAAGAGCTGTAAAAAAGGTAGAATTATAAAATATTTATTTTCCAATTTTTAAATAATGTCGTTTGAAAAAATATAATTTTTTTTAAAAACTATTTATGTAAGCGCTAAGATTAATGTGAAATGCTGAACTGTTATTGAAAAATTGATTTTTTAGGTTGTTTTCAGAAATAAAACAAATGTATATGCGATTTCCTTAGTTCATTGAAATCTACAAAGATAATCATCAACAATTAGCATAATATTTATAGAACTCCATCAAAAATGATACAATATTCTTTTCATCTAAATAGCAAAACGATAGTTTACACAAAAGAAAATATTTAAAAAGATATTATTTAGTATTTTCCTGAAATTTTTTATTAGTGTCATAAACAGTTTCATTGAAACAGGTGTTATTACACAATTCATTAAAACATTTACACCATATCATTTTCAAAGTAAACTTCTATAGCTACACATTTAGTATCCTCTTGTAAAAGCACTCCCGGAAAACATTTTTTGTACAGTCTTTCAGGGATTTATTTGATATGACTTCTATAATTAGAACCTGTAACCGTTTAATTTCTGTTTCATTTTAGAGAAGAGATAAAAGTTTGCAGAGCAATATCGAGACAGTAATGAAGTTTCGGAAGCAGTGTAGTTTTCTTTAGATCCAGAAATGATCAATGGACTGAAATTCTCATAGTGTGAAGGAATCGGTTTGTTTTTCCACAAATCAATTCACTTTTGTCGTACAACTTTACGCAGACAGATGAAAATTTCAATATATCTTTTCTTGTTTATAATGTGATTTTCCAGTTGAAGGACCCAATCAACAGAAGCTGATACAAGCAGTAATACATAAAATGGTTTATAGAAAGAATTGCTGTTTATGGATATAGTATCAAACAAGATATCGTATCATGATCAAGACCATTGACATATATTTGATGCAATCAGGTTAAGCAAAACGAGAAATTAGTAAAATGTTCTAGTGTTTCTTTGAAAAAATATCAACTTACACTATTTAATTATCGATATGATACTATGCTGTGTGAACGTCTAACAGCTTACTAATTTACAAATTTAATCTAACATTGCACACGTGAACTATATCTTTAGATTTTTACTGTTTTACTGGTCTTCATCGACAAACCATATCAAACCGTTGTGAATCCATACCGCTGTCTTTTAAACACTTCATTTGAATATTAAGGATTATAATGAATCTTCTGTGAATGCAGTATCTTAGCTGCATTACATTACTTAGCATAATGATAGTCACCCACAGTGAGAATGGTAGGAAATGTGCGGAAGACAGAAACGAGGGATATGTGCAATTTATGTAGCTTATGTTTAAATACGGCTATGAACAATCTATTGTTTAATATTACAAGTGTAGAATATTTAGTCTAATTACTTACATCGGCGCATATGGTTATCCTCTCTTGGCACTAATCATCTGTTAACGAATATGGAACATCATGTTTCGTAGGATGGACCATTCTTAGTATTCTAACAGAATAGTGTGATAGTACCACAGGTGATATCTACAATATTATCCGGTCTGGGAACAATTTTTACAGACAATACGTTGCATTTCCTGAATTTTCTCAACCGTTCTTGCCGTAACTGGCAGGCCTGCATGCAGTTATCGTCAGCAGTAGCTTTACCTTCTGAGAGCAGTCAAACGTTCGAGGACTGGCTGCAGTGAGCAGCACTGCGGCGACATATGGCACAGCAGCACATGTATAAAAAACCATGCGTAGTTATTTGTCAAACACAAGCAGTAGACGCAGTGGCGGCCTTTGGGGGTGGTGAGCAGGGCAATCGCCCGGGGCCTCGCTCTTGGAAAGGCCTCGCGCAACAACCAAGTAGAAAAAAGTTGATATTCAAAACTTTTTATTTTATCCTTGGCTATTAGTTATAACAATAAAATTAATTTAATTTATAGTACAGTATATATTAATATTAATAAATGCCTTACTATTTCACATACTTTGCACAAAGGATAAGGGCCTCGCAAAGTTCTGCCGCCCAGGGCCTCGCAATGGATAAGGCCACCGCTGAGTAGACGCACGAGAGATCATTTCGCATAGAACAGTACATTGCTAATAGGAGGTCACAATGAAAAGACACAAAGACGAAATGCTTTATCTCGAAGTTGGAAATACGAATAAGTATCAAGTTATGCCAAAAATTAAGCAAATTCGTTACCGAAAATTTTCATATGATTCAGCAGATGTACCGGAATGCAGGTATGACCCGCTGTCTTTAATTGGTACTGGCGCTTCTCAGAAGGTGCTTCAGTGGCTTCGCAAAGTGGGCGCTACCGCCCCCTGTGGACAATGAATAAATCTAGGGAGCGAAAAGAAGCAACTGGGCAGCAGGGCCGCTGGAAACAAAGTTCTGAACGGGGACCATAGGCAAAGGTTGGAGTCACTGACAGCCTTTCCTTTTCATCTTTTAATATGAGTAAGAAAAACATTGCGTTTAATGATTTTCAGATGTAAAGAACAATACAGTAAGGACATAAAGTGTAAATTTCCTAGAAAAGTTTTTCTAATAATATTTCCAAGCCTTTCTCAACAAGGGAAAATGGGTTAGGAGGCATTGGAGTATGGTTGGGAACGTTGAGTATAACTTTATGAAACCAAAGAGGGGTGCCTCGAAAAAGTTTGGGAAGCACTGATCTAGATGCAACTGGCTGATGATAACCTGTATGCAAGCCATCCGGTTACAGCAAGAACTGGTAAGAAAATTTAGGAGGTGCAAAGATTTTGCTCCGGTGACTAAACACCGGGGATGACATTACAGGTATCAACCGTGGTACCAGTCATGCTATTCTGACAGACGACTGAACATGGCCCATGCTGCAGAACACGACGTTCCACACTCATGATCAGTGCCAATAGAGGATAACCATTTGCAGCGACCTCATTGACAACCCTGTAGTTGACGCGTCATTTCTGTAATGCATCATAACCGAAAATAAAACCTGGAACTTCCTGTACGATCCGGGAATAAGGCAGCAAACAGCGACTTGGAAATCGCCGTCGTCTCCGCATGCAAACAGATGCAGCCAACACAGGTTCAAAAGGCAAACGCCTTTGGACCTGTGTTGCTGGAAGTGCTTTTTCGATGCCTTTGGCATTGTGCACATGAAATTCATTTGCGAGAGCGCAACTGTAAACAAAGAACGGCATGTGCAAAATCTGCGTCGTCTGCGGCATAAATACTTTATTGCAAATTTTAAAATAAAGAATATAAAATGAGTATATTATTATCCAAAAGGTATAATTGGAGCATCTCCTGTTCCTGAATATTTGGTACAAGAATTAGAAAGAAGATTAGGAATAAAACTTATGGTATGTATTCTTTTACGAGTGTCATTTAATTGTTTGCAACATTCAAATAAATAAAATATTGATACAATAAATCTTATTTCCTGCATGATAATAAGGTTAACTTTGGAATCACGTGAGTTAACGTTTGTTTTTTTATAAGCAGTGAAAATGTTTCAATCAGCAGAATGATTGTGCCAATGGATTATTATAACGCAACACTAGACAATTTGCTAAGGTGAAGGCCTCGTTGGACTACTTTCTACGGGAAACTGGTATCTATTTAGGTGTTACATGCGTAAAGGAAACTCGATAAATCTACGTAGCCGCTCGTTGGCAGGCGCAACGCCTGCCAACGAGCTGCCAAAAATACTTAACACAGGCCCACGACCTCTGTTAAGCATTTTTATCCACTTGGCCATTGATAGGCAATTGATATATGTAATGTTCGATTTGTTGCCACTTTAACAGAATAACGCATATTAAAAGATATCTATAACAAAATAGTCTTTTCAAAAAAATTTTGAATGTTTATCAACTTATTATAGAAAGTTTCAAACAGATAAATGATGTCTTTTCGAAAAATATTGCAGTAATTTATGTAGGATTTTTATAGACTACAATTCCACACTGTTACAACTTTTTTTTTATTACAGTCGACCCCCCCTATAACACGGTAGATACGTTCTGTTCTTTATGAATCGATTTCTTAAGAGTCCTTGCTAATCACAGCCCGACACGTGTGAAGTTTACGGACTACAGCTGTTTGAAAGGTTTTCTTCCATAAAATTAATCGATTCTAGACTAATCCGACTGAACATTTCCAAAATACGTATATTTTTTGGGAATAATCCATATAAACTATGCTATAAACAAAAAATTGTAGGATTAGTTACCGAGTGTGCACCGTTCGACGTCGCCATCGCTCAAGCTTGTTTTCGTTGCGGAGCAACGCATCAAACCGCGGCCGCGATTTCTGATAAGTTATTTTTCTGCAAAAACTTCGTTGAACTTTGGAGACATCATTAATATAAATAATTTTTATGGCCATTGAATAAGAAATGTATAAAAGTACAGTACTGTATTAGACTTATGGTACCTAATTTACATACTGTACAGACGATAGTAAACAACTTACTTGTCTAAACTCTCCGTAGAGTGGCGCTGGACGGCGGAAAGTA